CAGTGAATAACCAAGATATTCTCCAAAGGAGAAATTTCTTCAATAGATCTTACAACCACAGCAATGTGAAAAACAACTCTGTTGCAAAATATCCTTACCACCGCAGTGGATAAGGCAAGAACAATCACAAAGTGATTGTCTTCAACAGAGAGTGTTAATACACACAGGTTGCAACTCCTCCACAGTAGCTCCAATGGTTCCACCAGCAGGGAAGGAGGGAGGGCTTAGAACTCTTGGAGAAACTTGTAGATCTTGAAAACTGAAGCTTGAGCTTGTAGTCTTCAAAAACTTATATAGAAGTTACAACACAATCACCACTTCTCCAAAAAAAAAAAAATACACAAAATCCTCTTATATGCCCACAAGGCGAGGATCTACTAATAGCTCTGATTACCAATGTAACGGATCTGATAATAAAAAGGGCATTTACCCACTTAATAATAGGTTCTAACACAACCAGAGAATGGCAGCTCCTAGAAAACGACTAAGTCTGAGAGTTGGTAGGAGATGCAGTAACAAACTGTGGAGGGTGAGTTGAGAGAAAAGCAATCCTATTTCCCAATTGATTAGTTGGGAGTAGGAAATGAAGAATGAGCCCCGAGGCCTCAGACCCCTTCCCTAGACCCCCTTGGGGTGCAGCCACCTTCCCCATGGCAAGGAAGGGTGCACCACCATGGGCCTTGCCCATGTGGCAAAGGTTGATCCTTCTTACTCAATGACATGGCACAAAGGAATAAAATGCAGTGTATGCAATATGTTATCCATACCTATCATGTTCTAACTGGTTGCAATTCCAACGCGAGAGTTGCGTTGGACTTCGAATGTTTGTGATTGGCTGTAATTCCAACCAGCGGCGAGAAACTTCTCGACTCACTTTGTATAAAAGTGTTCTGATTGGTTGGCTTGCCAACTAGTCCGTTTCCCCGCTTTTCAACCAGTTCATTTCCCTTTTCATCTTCCCAACCCAGGTTCAATGTATCGAGACTCTGGGCTGGTTGGGATATCGAGATGTTACACTCCTCCCCCTCCAGCTGGCAACGTCCTCGTTGCCATGGGGTGCTTCTTAGGACGAGTGCTACGAGCATGACGAACCACATTACGACCAGGGTCAACACCATCCGCTGGTTGTGGGAGTGCTCGCTGAGCCAGGTCTTCCATGTAAGACTGAACCGCAGTATCAGTCAAATGTTCTTCCGGCTCCCATGAGTTGTGTTCAGGCCCATAGCCTTTCCACTTAATGAGGAACTCTCGTACAGTCTTGCGGCCGCGTTGTCGATCACGATGCAAAAGCACTCGTTCGACTTCATAGTACAGTTCCTCCCCTAGGACGATTGTTGGTGGTGGTAAGTACTTGCCCTCTGCAACGTACTTGCTTAATAGAGACACATGGAAGACATTGTGAATCTGCAGGGTATCAGGTAGCTTGAGTTTGTAAGCTACCGCACCAACTCGTTGAACGACCTCGAAGGGCCCAATCCAGCGAGGGAACAACTTTCTCGCACCAGGGATCTTAAGCCGAATATTCTTCGTGCTTAACAAAACTTTGTCTCCAACGGAGAATGATATTTCCCGGCGTTTCATGTCGGCATAGGATTTTTGCCTTTGTTGGGCTAATTGCAGCCAACGACGTGCCGACTTTAGGGCCTCTCGTTGCTTGCGCACAAAATCCTTTGCGGCAGGTAATTTCAAACCGCCGATCCCATGCGTAGCAGGTGTTGTGGGATGCCGACCACAGTTCATGATAAATGGTTTTTCATGTGTGCTATCATGCACCGAGTTGTTAACCGCAAACTCGACCATGGGTAACAACTCGTCCCAATTGTCCTGTGTTGGGCTTATGAAAGAACGAAGCATCTGCTCGAGAGTGCGGTTAGTTCGTTCCGTTTGCCCATCTGTCTGGGGATGGAAAGCTGATGACATCTTAAGCTTCGTTCCTAGTGTCTCGGTTACTTCACGCCAGAACCGGCTCGTGAAGCGCGGGTCGCGATCAGACACCAATACACGTGGCAATCCGTGTAGGCGGAACACATGTGTCACGAACAACCGAGCAGTATCCTCTGCCGACACGTCTGTTGTCGTGGGTACTAAGTGCACCATTTTTGTAAGGCGATCTACAAAGACGAGTATCGCCGTATACCCATCACGGGTTCTTGGAAGCTCGGTGATGAAATCCAGTGAAACGCTTTCCCAAGGTTCACTCGGAATTTCAAGTGGTTGAAGCAAACCACCAGGCTTCTGTGTGTCCGGTTTGTTACGTGCGCACGTGTCGCAACGTGCCACAAACTGTTGGACATCACTACCAACTCCTGGCCACCAATACACATCTCGTAGGGCCCATCGGGTCTTATTCATGCCCAAGTGTCCCCCATATTTAGTGGCATGCACCTCTTCCAAAATATCGTTCCGCAGATTGCCTACATGAGGTACCGCAATCTCTTTTGTTCGCCACCAAAGATCGTGTTCCCATGTCAAATTTCTGGTGTTTTGTGGGTTCTGGAACCAGGATTCAATATGATATCCTGTACGAATTCGTTTCAGAAAACCAGTGAACGCGATCTCGCTCACTTTCGCCGCAGCTAGTATGCCAAAACAGGCAGCAAAAACAGCCGCGTGTTCGGTATCGTCAAGCCCAGTTGCTGCCCCTATCGGCTGTCTGCTGAGGGGGTCAGCCAGGTTCGTGGAACCTGCACGATAACGTATGTCGAAACTGAACCCACTAAGGAGTTCAGCCCAACGGGCCTGACGGCGAGTGAGGGTAGCTTGGGTAGAAAAATATGTGTTCGGACAATGGTCAGTGGTGACCACGAACTCTACCCCTTCCAAGTAACATCGCCATGTTCTTAGCGCATGCACGACAGCCAACAACTCTTGTTCGGTCGTCGTGTAGCGTTGCTCTGCCGGGGAGAGCTTTCTACTCTCAAATGCCACAGGGCGTCCTTCTTGCAGGAGTACTGCACCAAGTCCCACCGTCGAGGCGTCTGTAACCACCTCATATGGTTTCTGTGGGTTTGGCAACACCAAAACTGGTGCGTTGGTTAATTTATGCTTGACCTCTTCGAAGGCCTTTTGGCACTGTGGAGTCCACTCCCACGTGCACCCTTTCCGGGTCAATGCCGTGAGGGGTGCGACTATCGTGGAATAATATTCCAAGAAGCAACGAAAATAATTCGCCAGGCCCAGGAATGATCGAACTTGGCCAACGTCGCGTGGGACGGGCCACTCCTGTACAGCTGCTACCTTCTTGGGGTCCACTTTCAGACCGTTGTGCCCCACTACGTGCCCCAAATACTCCAGCTCGCGTTTGTAAAAATGACATTTCCACAAACGTGCGTAGTATTTGTGCTCGCGTAATTTTTTGAGGACCCATTTCAGGTGTTCAGTATGCTCATCTTCGGTTTTTGAGTATACCAGGATATCATCGAGGTACACCAGGACGAACTGGCCAATCGCATCACGAAAAACATCGTTCATCGCCCTCTGGAAAGAGGCCGGAGCGTTGGTCAAGCCAAAACTTAACACACGCCACTGAAAATGGCCGAACGGCGAACGGAAAGCCGTCTTTGGAACATCGTCCTCTGTTATACGCAATTGGTGATAGCCTTGTGCCAAGTCCAGTGCACTGAACCATTGCGCACCCTGTAGTCGATCAAATAAATCTTCTATGCGCGGAAGTGGATATCTGTTTTTTATCGTAATTTTATTCAGGGCTCGATAATCGACGCACATGCGCAGTCCACCTCCCTTCTTGTGAACAAACAAGATAGGTGCTCCATATGGGGACGCGCTAGGTTCTATCCATCCCTTCCTGAGGTACTCCTCAATCTGTTGTTTAGCCTCCTCGTACTCAGCTGGACTGAGGCGATACAGAGGTCTAAATGGTGGTGCCTTTCCTGGTTCCACCGGGATGGTGTGGCCAACTGCACGGTCGGGGGGTAACCCGTCCGGAATTGGTTCGAAAACCTCGGAATATTCCTCTGCCAACGCCTTCATTTGAGGTGGAAAGTCCTCAATAATCTGTGAAGGGGTTGGTTCAGAGTCCAGCTGTACAACAAAAAGTGTATCAGCTCCCTTGACATGCTCTTTGAATTGGAGAGCCGACGCAAAGCGCACATCAAGAGCCAGGCTTTGAGGTTTGTCGTCCAGTGCATGGCGCTTTGGGACTTGCCATTGAAACGCTGTCCCATTCTTTGTGAATGAAAGCGTGTTATCTTGGAAATTTAATATCACCTCATTTAGCCGCAGCCAATCCATTCCCAAGACAATGTCTACGCCTGCTAGGAGGGGTAAGACAAAAACACTGATGGTCTCCTGATATCCTTGGATATCCAGGTTGACCAACGCATGTCCTCTGCATGGAATGATCCTATCATCCCGTAGGCGGATCGAACAGGATGGTCCTTGAACAGGGACATTCAAGTATCCCATCCATTTCTCATCGATCAATGACGCAGTTGCTCCTGTATCAACCAGGATCGAGGCACTGCGCCCGTTTACACGACCAGAAAACAAAAGATTTTGCTGATGTTTGGGTCGAATAGGACATGCTGTAATGTCAGTGGGAGGCGAATAGTATGCCTTAATGCCGTGCTTGCTGCGTCCAAAGGAGCGAGCTTGTGTCCACCACACATGGTGTCCCTTATCCCACTGCGCTAACACGCTCCATCCTTGAAGTGCTCGAAACGATTTACCTCGAACTGTGCGCGTTACCATTCCAACCGCAGTTAGAGGGTGCGCTTGGGTGCAACGACCCACCACGTCCATTATCCAAGGCAAATTATGGTGATCACAAAATATAAGTGAGAATTTATCTCTTAATGATTCAATTGTGACATTTTCCAGTGGGTGAAATCGAGAGGCAAACAAAGAGCTTTCATTAAAAGAAAATGCATACACACATGCAATTTTGCAATCAACAAGGCACTCGAGTTTCAATAACTCCTCATCCCGCAGGACCATTGCCTCATCCTCTCGATCTACTATGCCCGCTAGGTACCCACCCCCTAGTTGGGCTTTGCAAAATCCCGCTGGCTGCCCGAGGGACCACTGCCGTCATTGCGCTTGTTGTCCGTCTTGGGCTTGCCAGAGTACTTCACCGACTTGCGGTGGCGGAACTCATAGCCCTTGTGTCCAGGCTTGCCGCACTTGAAGCAGCTCTGGACATTGCTTGGTCCACCCTCGTTGACCTTCTTGGCCTTGTGGTCAGCCTGCTGCCCCTGCTGGAAGGGCCTCTTGTGGTTCCCGCCCTTCCAAGGCGAACACTGCTGCCTTCCACTCGGACCCCCAGTGCTAGAAGACGGCCTTGAGGCCTGCTGCGGCTGGGTAGTGGTTTTGGCATAAGCGCGGAAGTGCTTATCAGTGGTCCCCACCACGCGCTTCACGTGATCATAGGACCGCCATGCCTCCCCAGCCCCATCCGTCATATGCATGTTCTTGAGGTGCTCAGGCAGCCCCCTGAAGAACAGATGGATCTTCTCACCCTCGCTCATGCGCTCAGCCGGTTTCTGCAGCACCCAAATCTCCTCGAACTCCACAGCGTATTGCTGCACTGTGCGGTTCCCGCACTGCAGCTTCTCAAGGCGACTGCGCACCTCCAGCTGGGTCGGCTGGACCTGGAAAGCCTGCTTGAGTGCAGAAGCGAATTCCTCCCACCCAAACGGCTTCCTATCCGCCTCAGCCTGGATCTTGCTGCCATACACCACTCGCTGTGCGTTCTGGTCCAGCACGGTGGTGGCAGCGACGACGCGAGCGTCGTCCTGGACCTTGTGCGCCTTGAACAGGTCGGTCATTATTGACAACCACGCAGCCACGTCCGTCTTGCCATGTATGAATGGCGGCAGGGTGATCGGCAGAGAGCCAAAGGCCTGCGTGCTCGGCTCAGCAGCGCGCTGCGTAGAAGGACCAGGGTCACCCCCTGCACCACCAGAGCGAGAAGGGTTGGTGCGACCGCTAGCAGAGTTGGTAGGCGGGTCCGCTCGTGGTGCAGGGCGATACATGGTCTCCCTTCGGAGGGCACTGAAGGCCTCGCGCAGCTCGTTGATCTTTGAGGTCTGCCTCGCCAGCTGGTGAACGTGCTCACGCGCGTCGTGCTTCATGTTCTTGAGCTCAACTTCCAGGTACTTGATTTTGTCGTCCTGGTCAGAGAGCTCCCTCGTGAGGTTGGTGATGAGTGACTGCTGCTGCTGGATGCGCGTATCCTGCTCAACAGCATGATCCTGCAGCTTAGCAATTTCAGCCTGCAGAATGTCCTCCTCCCCTTCCAACTCAATGTCATCCTCCTGAGACTCCCCTTCCTGCTCCTTGGAATTTTCAGCAGTTGGAGGGTCCCTTGCAGGAGAGTCAACAGCAGGTTCCTTCTCAACCATTTCCTCATCCATGTTGTTCAGGTCAATTTTCTGCACACAAGCTTCAAGTTCAGCATTGGAGTTGTTGCCTTCAACACCACCAGCATTGGAGTTGGAAGAAGCCATTGAGAGCAAAGTCACTGTATTGTAAAAATGAGTTACAGATCTACTGCAATTTGTTATCACCGCAGTGAATAACCAAGATATTCTCCAAAGGAGAAATTTCTTCAATAGATCTTACAACCACAGCAATGTGAAAAACAACTCTGTTGCAAAATATCCTTACCACCGCAGTGGATAAGGCAAGAACAATCACAAAGTGATTGTCTTCAACAGAGAGTGTTAATACACACAGGTTGCAACTCCTCCACAGTAGCTCCAATGGTTCCACCAGCAGGGAAGGAGGGAGGGCTTAGAACTCTTGGAGAAACTTGTAGATCTTGAAAACTGAAGCTTGAGCTTGTAGTCTTCAAAAACTTATATAGAAGTTACAACACAATCACCACTTCTCCAAAAAAAAAAAAATACACAAAATCCTCTTATATGCCCACAAGGCGAGGATCTACTAATAGCTCTGATTACCAATGTAACGGATCTGATAATAAAAAGGGCATTTACCCACTTAATAATAGGTTCTAACACAACCAGAGAATGGCAGCTCCTAGAAAACGACTAAGTCTGAGAGTTGGTAGGAGATGCAGTAACAAACTGTGGAGGGTGAGTTGAGAGAAAAGCAATCCTATTTCCCAATTGATTAGTTGGGAGTAGGAAATGAAGAATGAGCCCCGAGGCCTCAGACCCCTTCCCTAGACCCCCTTGGGGTGCAGCCACCTTCCCCATGGCAAGGAAGGGTGCACCACCATGGGCCTTGCCCATGTGGCAAAGGTTGATCCTTCTTACTCAATGACATGGCACAAAGGAATAAAATGCAGTGTATGCAATATGTTATCCATACCTATCATGTTCTAACTGGTTGCAATTCCAACGCGAGAGTTGCGTTGGACTTCGAATGTTTGTGATTGGCTGTAATTCCAACCAGCGGCGAGAAACTTCTCGACTCACTTTGTATAAAAGTGTTCTGATTGGTTGGCTTGCCAACTAGTCCGTTTCCCCGCTTTTCAACCAGTTCATTTCCCTTTTCATCTTCCCAACCCAGGTTCAATGTATCGAGACTCTGGGCTGGTTGGGATATCGAGATGTTACACTCCTCCCCCTCCAGCTGGCAACGTCCTCGTTGCCATGGGGTGCTTCTTAGGACGAGTGCTACGAGCATGACGAACCACATTACGACCAGGGTCAACACCATCCGCTGGTTGTGGGAGTGCTCGCTGAGCCAGGTCTTCCATGTAAGACTGAACCGCAGTATCAGTCAAATGTTCTTCCGGCTCCCATGAGCTTGTGTTCAGGCCCATAGCCTTTCCACTTAATGAGGAACTCTCGTACAGTCTTGCGGCCGCGTTGTCGATCACGATGCAAAAGCACTCGTTCGACTTCATAGTACAGTTCCTCCCCTAGGACGATTGTTGGTGGTGGTAAGTACTTGCCCTCTGCAACGTACTTGCTTAATAGAGACACATGGAAGACATTGTGAATCTGCAGGGTATCAGGTAGCTTGAGTTTGTAAGCTACCGCACCAACTCGTTGAACGACCTCGAAGGGCCCAATCCAGCGAGGGAACAACTTTCTCGCACCAGGGATCTTAAGCCGAATATTCTTCGTGCTTAACAAAACTTTGTCTCCAACGGAGAATGATATTTCCCGGCGTTTCATGTCGGCATAGGATTTTTGCCTTTGTTGGGCTAATTGCAGCCAACGACGTGCCGACTTTAGGGCCTCTCGTTGCTTGCGCACAAAATCCTTTGCGGCAGGTAATTTCAAACCGCCGATCCCATGCGTAGCAGGTGTTGTGGGATGCCGAACACAGTTCATGATAAATGGTTTTTCATGTGTTCTATCATGCACCGAGTTGTTAACCGCAAACTCGACCATGGGTAACAACTCGTCCCAATTGTCCTGTGTTGGGCTTATGAAAGAACGAAGCATCTGCTCGAGAGTGCGGTTAGTTCGTTCCGTTTGCCCATCTGTCTGGGGATGGAAAGCTGATGACATCTTAAGCTTCGTTCCTAGTGTCTCGGTTACTTCACGCCAGAACCGGCTCGTGAAGCGCGGGTCGCGATCAGACACCAATACACGTGGCAATCCGTGTAGGCGGAACACATGTGTCACGAACAACCGAGCAGTATCCTCTGCCGACACGTCTGTTGTCGTGGGTACTAAGTGCACCATTTTTGTAAGGCGATCTACAAAGACGAGTATCGCCGTATACCCATCACGGGTTCTTGGAAGCTCGGTGATGAAATCCAGTGAAACGCTTTCCCAAGGTTCACTCGGAATTTCAAGTGGTTGAAGCAAACCACCAGGCTTCTGTGTGTCCGGTTTGTTACGTGCGCACGTGTCGCAACGTGCCACAAACTGTTGGACATCACTACCAACTCCTGGCCACCAATACACATCTCGTAGGGCCCATCGGGTCTTATTCATGCCCAAGTGTCCCCCATATTTAGTGGCATGCACCTCTTCCAAAATATCGTTCCGCAGATTGCCTACATGAGGTACCGCAATCTCTTTTGTTCGCCACCAAAGATCGTGTTCCCATGTCAAATTTCTGGTGTTTTGTGGGTTCTGGAACCAGGATTCAATATGATATCCTGTACGAATTCGTTTCAGAAAACCAGTGAACGCGATCTCGCTCACTTTCGCCGCAGCTAGTATGCCAAAACAGGCAGCAAAAACAGCCGCGTGTTCGGTATCGTCAAGCCCAGTTGCTGCCCCTATCGGCTGTCTGCTGAGGGGGTCAGCCAGGTTCGTGGAACCTGCACGATAACGTATGTCGAAACTGAACCCACTAAGGAGTTCAGCCCAACGGGCCTGACGGCGAGTGAGGGTAGCTTGGGTAGAAAAATATGTGTTCGGACAATGGTCAGTGGTGACCACGAACTCTACCCCTTCCAAGTAACATCGCCATGTTCTTAGCGCATGCACGACAGCCAACAACTCTTGTTCGGTCGTCGTGTAGCGTTGCTCTGCCGGGGAGAGCTTTCTACTCTCAAATGCCACAGGGCGTCCTTCTTGCAGGAGTACTGCACCAAGTCCCACCGTCGAGGCGTCTGTAACCACCTCATATGGTTTCTGTGGGTTTGGCAACACCAAAACTGGTGCGTTGGTTAATTTATGCTTGACCTCTTCGAAGGCCTTTTGGCACTGTGGAGTCCACTCCCACGTGCACCCTTTCCGGGTCAATGCCGTGAGGGGTGCGACTATCGTGGAATAATATTCCAAGAAGCAACGAAAATAATTCGCCAGGCCCAGGAATGATCGAACTTGGCCAACGTCGCGTGGGACGGGCCACTCCTGTACAGCTGCTACCTTCTTGGGGTCCACTTTCAGACCGTTGTGCCCCACTACGTGCCCCAAATACTCCAGCTCGCGTTTGTAAAAATGACATTTCCACAAACGTGCGTAGTATTTGTGCTCGCGTAATTTTTTGAGGACCCATTTCAGGTGTTCAGTATGCTCATCTTCGGTTTTTGAGTATACCAGGATATCATCGAGGTACACCAGGACGAACTGGCCAATCGCATCACGAAAAACATCGTTCATCGCCCTCTGGAAAGAGGCCGGAGCGTTGGTCAAGCCAAAACTTAACACACGCCACTGAAAATGGCCGAACGGCGAACGGAAAGCCGTCTTTGGAACATCGTCCTCTGTTATACGCAATTGGTGATAGCCTTGTGCCAAGTCCAGTGCACTGAACCATTGCGCACCCTGTAGTCGATCAAATAAATCTTCTATGCGCGGAAGTGGATATCTGTTTTTTATCGTAATTTTATTCAGGGCTCGATAATCGACGCACATGCGCAGTCCACCTCCCTTCTTGTGAACAAACAAGATAGGTGCTCCATATGGGGACGCGCTAGGTTCTATCCATCCCTTCCTGAGGTACTCCTCAATCTGTTGTTTAGCCTCCTCGTACTCAGCTGGACTGAGGCGATACAGAGGTCTAAATGGTGGTGCCTTTCCTGGTTCCACCGGGATGGTGTGGCCAACTGCACGGTCGGGGGGTAACCCGTCCGGAATTGGTTCGAAAACCTCGGAATATTCCTCTGCCAACGCCTTCATTTGAGGTGGAAAGTCCTCAATAATCTGTGAAGGGGTTGGTTCAGAGTCCAGCTGTACAACAAAAAGTGTATCAGCTCCCTTGACATGCTCTTTGAATTGGAGAGCCGACGCAAAGCGCACATCAAGAGCCAGGCTTTGAGGTTTGTCGTCCAGTGCATGGCGCTTTGGGACTTGCCATTGAAACGCTGTCCCATTCTTTGTGAATGAAAGCGTGTTATCTTGGAAATTTAATATCACCTCATTTAGCCGCAGCCAATCCATTCCCAAGACAATGTCTACGCCTGCTAGGAGGGGTAAGACAAAAACACTGATGGTCTCCTGATATCCTTGGATATCCAGGTTGACCAACGCATGTCCTCTGCATGGAATGATCCTATCATCCCGTAGGCGGATCGAACAGGATGGTCCTTGAACAGGGACATTCAAGTATCCCATCCATTTCTCATCGATCAATGACGCAGTTGCTCCTGTATCAACCAGGATCGAGGCACTGCGCCCGTTTACACGACCAGAAAACAAAAGATTTTGCTGATGTTTGGGTCGAATAGGACATGCTGTAATGTCAGTGGGAGGCGAATAGTATGCCTTAATGCCGTGCTTGCTGCGTCCAAAGGAGCGAGCTTGTGTCCACCACACATGGTGTCCCTTATCCCACTGCGCTAACACGCTCCATCCTTGAAGTGCTCGAAACGATTTACCTCGAACTGTGCGCGTTACCATTCCAACCGCAGTTAGAGGGTGCGCTTGGGTGCAACGACCCACCACGTCCATTATCCAAGGCAAATTATGGTGATCACAAAATATAAGTGAGAATTTATCTCTTAATGATTCAATTGTGACATTTTCCAGTGGGTGAAATCGAGAGGCAAACAAAGAGCTTTCATTAAAAGAAAATGCATACACACATGCAATTTTGCAATCAACAAGGCACTCGAGTTTCAATAACTCCTCATCCCGCAGGACCATTGCCTCATCCTCTCGATCTACTATGCCCGCTAGGTACCCACCCCCTAGTTGGGCTTTGCAAAATCCCGCTGGCTGCCCGAGGGACCACTGCCGTCATTGCGCTTGTTGTCCGTCTTGGGCTTGCCAGAGTACTTCACCGACTTGCGGTGGCGGAACTCATAGCCCTTGTGTCCAGGCTTGCCGCACTTGAAGCAGCTCTGGACATTGCTTGGTCCACCCTCGTTGACCTTCTTGGCCTTGTGGTCAGCCTGCTGCCCCTGCTGGAAGGGCCTCTTGTGGTTCCCGCCCTTCCAAGGCGAACAGTGCTGCCTTCCACTCGGACCCCCAGTGCTAGAAGACGGCCTTGAGGCCTGCTGCGGCTGGGTAGTGGTTTTGGCATAAGCGCGGAAGTGCTTATCAGTGGTCCCCACCACGCGCTTCACGTGATCATAGGACCGCCATGCCTCCCCAGCCCCATCCGTCATATGCATGTTCTTGAGGTGCTCAGGCAGCCCCCTGAAGAACAGATGGATCTTCTCACCCTCGCTCATGCGCTCAGCCGGTTTCTGCAGCACCCAAATCTCCTCGAACTCCACAGCGTATTGCTGCACTGTGCGGTTCCCGCACTGCAGCTTCTCAAGGCGACTGCGCACCTCCAGCTGGGTCGGCTGGACCTGGAAAGCGTGCTTGAGTGCAGAAGCGAATTCCTCCCACCCAAACGGCTTCCTATCCGCCTCAGCCTGGATCTTGCTGCCATACACCACTCGCTGTGCGTTCTGGTCCAGCACGGTGGTGGCAGCGACGACGCGAGCGTCGTCCTGGACCTTGTGCGCCTTGAACAGGTCGGTCATTATTGACAACCACGCAGCCACGTCCGTCTTGCCATGTATGAATGGCGGCAGGGTGATCGGCAGAGAGCCAAAGGCCTGCGTGCTCGGCTCAGCAGCGCGCTGCGTAGAAGGACCAGGGTCACCCCCTGCACCACCAGAGCGAGAAGGGTTGGTGCGACCGCTAGCAGAGTTGGTAGGCGGGTCCGCTCGTGGTGCAGGGCGATACATGGTCTCCCTTCGGAGGGCACTGAAGGCCTCGCGCAGCTCGTTGATCTTTGAGGTCTGCCTCGCCAGCTGGTGAACGTGCTCACGCGCGTCGTGCTTCATGTTCTTGAGCTCAACTTCCAGGTACTTGATTTTGTCGTCCTGGTCAGAGAGCTCCCTCGTGAGGTTGGTGATGAGTGACTGCTGCTGCTGGATGCGCGTATCCTGCTCAACAGCATGATCCTGCAGCTTAG